CTTCTTCTCCTGTCCCGACTGTTCTTCGTCTCCCCTCGATCCCTTCTGGCCCAGAGACCCCGTGCTTTTTTACTGGTTTATGGGATTTTTTTCACGCGGACCGCCGAGTCGTACATCAGAGACGGCTGACTGAGGTCTTTCTCTCCTTCGGTTCGCTTCTCGCTCTCTTCTCCGCCGTGTGTACCGCGGCGTTCTTTCGTCTCTCCTCTCTCTTTCGCTCTTTCGCTCTCTCGATCTTTCTCGCTCCTCTCTTCACCGCGGTTGAAGGGTCGTGTGCGTGTTGCCCGTGAGGGAGAAGGAAAGAGGAGACGAACAATAAAAAAGAGCAAATGCCAGCCGCCATAAAAACAACTGAAAGTATTAAAAACTTTAGGCCTTTTACTGCCGGAGCTGCCTTCTCGGGGAAGGTACAGTCGGATGTGTACGAACGACCCGTTTCTTCGTCGGCTCTGACGATCCCCGGTTCGTGGTCCTCCGCGTTCGACGATCGATCCCCGATAATTCAATGTTCCTTTGTACACTCCTCGATCGATCGACACGGTCGTTCTCGCGTCCGGTTGGGGCACAGATTCTCAGCTTCACTGATTAATGAATTCACGGAGCAAGTAGATTCGCGGAGAAACGTCACGCCGCTTGATAAAGAACAAGAGACTCGGTCACGTTTAATCGCTACCAGACGCTTTGTTTTTTATCAGAATCGATCAGATTTGCTGCCACGATGTTGCAGTCTCCTTTAATTCACGAAGAAAGTGTGCGAGAAAGGCGGTTCGACACGCGTTAGGCCAAGAAGAATCCATTTCTACGCGAAACCTTATCCACGGGGCGATTCCGAATCGAAAATCGCGGCAATAAAACCGTGAAACGGAGGAAAAGAGAACCTGCCTGGGTGGCGGCTAGGTGGAACAGGCACGGTTAAAAAGACGAAGAAGGAACAAGACGGGGATGGAGGCTGCGCCTCGTAAAATTATCGTACTTTAATAAAACGTGTCGTGCAAAACGCGAGGATAACGAGAAAATATAGGGTTCGAAAGACTCGTGAAATTTATAGAGCGATCGCCAGCTCGAGCAGGGAGGGGTGAAGGGGGCAGAGCCACTTTTTGGGATGGCCAGGTCGGGTTTAGTTCGGAGGCACAATAAGATACCGAATAAATCAACGGAATACCGAGTGTGTATCGAGTTCAAAAGTCGACGGTTTACGAGCAAGAGCACGTCGAACCTCGAATTCGCATCGAAAACAAAGGGAAGAAAATTCGCGATTTTTAACGACGAGCGCGGACCAACAGTTTATTCCAATCATCAGTTTTAATAAATGCTTTTACGGGGATTCTTGGGAGCGCGTTCATTACCTTAATTTTTACGAGCATAAAAATAAAAAGACTGACGTAAAATCGGTTTATATCCGACTCGCGACATTAATAAACACGTTGCCAGAGGTTCTCATACGGTCCTCCCCTTTCTCGTAATCTTGAATATTAAATGTACGCGTTGCATGAGTCTCGAAAATTTCAAAAATTCAGGAAGACCATTACAAAAGTTTCTATTGTATATTCGAATACTAATCAAAGATAATTCCTCGACGAAAATCTTCTAGATTCCCACATTGACTTTCATCGGATTTGACTCGTCTTTTGAGATTCAGCTTCTATGATTCATTTTGCATTTTCAGTATTATAATAAAATGCAATTATATCGAAGGCAATTTGTCGGCGGTGCTGTAGTATCATTTTTATTATTGATCAAAATTTTAGGGGTTTTGCGAGATCAAACGAAATTCCTTCGAGGCTGTCAAAGGCTGCTTTCGAACGCCTTGAAACATCGCTATGTATTTCAAATATAATTATACTTCAAACAATATGGAAACATATCTAAATCTCGAATAATAATTGTATCTCTAAACTTCAATAATATGCAATTATAAAACAAATGTAAACCAAGAATATTGCGCCATTTTTTCACACATCTTGACTTTGAATAAAGAGCTGTTTTTGCACATAAATGGAGTCTAAAAAATTGCTGAAGATTTGAAAAAAATGTTAGATTTTCAAATATAATTATACTCCATACAATACGGAAATATACAGCGCCATTTCTGCACAAAACTAAATCTCCAATAATAATTGAATGTCTTAAGAAATTCTAATATTCCAAACATGTCAGAGCCGCACAAAATTTCAATAATATGCAATTATAAAACAAATGTAAAACAACTACCTTGTACCATTTTTTCACACATCTTGGCTTTGAATAAAGAACTGTATTTGCACATAAATGGAGTCTAAGAAATTGCTGAAGATTTAAAAAAAATGTTAGATTTTTCCAAGAAGTTGTAAGCTTTTAACGCTGTACAAGGCTTCGAAGATCCTCGAACGTTAAAAAAAATCTACGATACGCATCGATGACCGGACGTGTCGCGGAGATGTAAGTCTCCATTCTAATCCACCCGGCTCCTCCGATGGAAACTTTTAATCGTCATCGCGAATCAGCTAATTCAAACAGCGCTAATCTCCGCGGCCAGATTAAGCGGAACGGGACGCGATAAATAAACAACGGTGCGATGAAAAAATGAATCAGAAGAACGAAGCCCGCCGGAGTAGCAGGAAGGGAAGAAGGGACGCGATTCGGTAGCGCGACAGAGAGCATACGTATATATCGTGACGTTCCTGATTCTCTAATCTCTGTAAACTGCTCCCCTCCCCTCCCTCTTGGCAAAAGTCTTTCGGTGCCCCTGGAGGGCACCTCGACTACGTTGTACCGCACCGAGGAGGCCCCCCCGGAGCAGTAAATCTCGCGGACAAACAATCATAATTTTCGAAGAGCTAACAAAAAGCAAGAGACTCTTTAAAGGGAGCCGATGCCAGGCAACATGAAATGCGGCCGCCTCCGCGCCTCCAATTGTTTCGAGGTTTTCTTCCCTCCTCGCATCCCCCCACCCCCCGCGATCTCTTTTTCTCCCTTTCTCCGCCTTCGTCCTTTCCTTCTTTCCACGAGATTCGCCGTGTATCAACAAGTACGCCCGTACGCGGCTCTCTGCGTTTTTCCCTTGATTTCTTCATTTCTTCATTTCTTCCATTCGCTCCGAGGCCTTGCCGCTCTTTTTTCACCACCGGTGGTTGTTTACGGTTCCTTTCGTCGCTTCGATCCCCGTTTCTTCCTCGGTTTCGCCAACGTTTTTCGAACGAGATTTCGCCGCGATCGGCGCCCCGTTTCCGAGAGGAAAGAGATCGGAGATCGAAGATCGAGTCAACGCGATAGACGTCTACATGGATCGATATGATCACGAAAGCTATCCAAGATAATATCTACTATTTTTTGGAATAATACACATCGTAAAATTTAGTCTTCTTAGGCTTTCGTGGTCGATGACATTTAACGTAATTTCCGAAGTATCGAGCGTTTCTTTTGACGTGCACCGTCCGCGGCTAAAAGTTGATATTAATTGGGTCTGAATTATCTCTAAGACACTTTGATAATTATTCATTTTTAAGTGACACACGCTGTCAGGAGCATGCACGACAGCAATGAAGTCTGGAATAAGTTAGGCCTGTATTAAGCGTTTGTTAGGTCTATGCTAGAACTGGGTTAGGTTAAGAAGAAACGAGAACCTCCTAATTGACAGCTGAAGCAGCACGAATTTGAATAGACACTCGTTTAGAGGATGAGCTTCTTTTGTTAAGTGGCGATCCCTAACTTGGAGCATGAATATTCCACGCTGACAATCCTTGCCCAACGGTGGTGGACTGTTCGAGGAAAATTTCAAAACGAACGTCTATATCGCGCATCGTATATACGCCATGGCTCGTTTTGCAAGAATATTCGAGTCGGTTCTGGCATTCAAAGTACACGATAACGACACTCGTTCCTACCAGATTAGTTGAATAAACATTACCGATGCTCGACTCACGATTAAATGTTCTACAATTTTGTAGGTAGTTTCACGAAACTATCATCTTCCAGGTAAACAGAATTTAGGGGACGAGCTCTGTTTACAGCATCCAATTTGAAATAACAGATATAGAAACTCAATCTTTCAACGCGTCCCAACAAAATGAACTTTTCACGTAAGAGTAGACTACATCGAGAAATAAAGTCAAGACACTCGAAACATTGACATCCGAATAGACGAAAGACTCTTTACGCTGTTCGATCACGAAACGATCCTAATTACAGACCGCGGTTCGCAACCGGTCCCCGTGTCGTTAAAAACTTCGCATCGAATTCGCGGGGTGGCAGAACGAGAAGTGTGTAAAAGGAAGGGTTATCGTGGCTCGCGATTCTGATTACAGACTCCCGACGAAGGAAGGAATTGTCGAGGCACGGTTCGCCATAAAAATTCACCCTCGCCACTCCGGCGGCACCTCGATATCGCGTTTCTTTCCGCGGGGATTGCTTAAATCTCGCAGATAACATCGTCACGAAAAAATCAGGCGATCGTTTCTTTTTCTCTAGCGTTTATTTCCATTCGCGCGGGTACCAGCGAGCAACGCTAATTTTCCGCTCTAACAGAACGCGATGCACGTATATATCCTCTCGTCGGTGCAATTACGCGTATTCGCCGGGAATTCGCGTGCGTTTCTAGACTGCCATTCGCGCGGGTAAACTTATATATTTTCCCTCCTGAACGGAACAATACGTCGATGCTAAATCCAGCTACCTCCGGGCTCTCGCGACCGAACCGGCTGCCAAACGACTTTACAACTTCCCCTGCAATATCCCATCAATTCTGCGACACAATTCGGATACTTTGTCGCGGCTAGTGCGCGTGGCGATGTCCAACGACTCGTATAAATTATAAATAAACCGTCAGCCGTCAGTTTTGACGGGCTTCTCGAATCCTAACAGCGTTCTGGCCGTTTGGCCGGGACTATTCCGACCAGACGCACGCCGGTTGTTTTTCTCCGCGTTGGCAGGTTTCGAGAAACTCGTCGGGGAATACGGCCGGGGCCCGATAACCCAGAATTCAACGTCCACGGGACGCTCGAGAAGCACGGGTGACGTTTTACCTTGACTTCAGCGAGTATCCCAGTTTCCTCCGGTGGATGCTTCTACTCCGACTGGCATAGTCCTCGACGAGCTCCGGTGAAGCCCGTGTCCTCGTGGTTGCACGATGGTCGACTCTTCTAATCGAAGAAAAGCCCGACCGACCGGCTGTCGTCGTGTCTCATCACTCGCTGCCGCGATAGTACGTGCTGTCCAGGTTCGTGGATGTCACTTCAGCATCGCACGGTATATAGCAGTTCGGTGTACGAAACAGAGGACCGGGTCACGAAAAGAAACGTCGACGGACGTGTCACACTCGTCACGAATAATCACTCGCCTGATCACACCGTCCACGAACAACCAACCACTGGTGCCTGTTTCCCGGGCGTCGCACTGTCATCCAAACTGACCCGACGACGCATCACTTTTTTTCGAAACGCGACGCGAACCGACCTTCGCCACCCTCAGAGCCGTGCGAACCGGAAGTACCCGGGTCACCGCCGATCCGTCCACGGGGAGCAAGCAGTCGAGGCGCGTGATGATGCCGCTGTCCTCGCTCTGAACTGGCTCGCCGACTTCTCGATGGGGGCGGGGAGGGGGTGTGCGTGTTCCAAACGCTGGTGGTGGCAGCGGTCCGTAGGGGTGGGGCGTGCACGCGTGCACAGGGAGCCGCAACGAGCCACGCAAAGACGCAAAAAACCAGCGACGACCGGCGAGAACCGCGAGACTTTCCCGGGGAAAAACCGTCCGCCGCAGTATCCTTCGACGCAGAGCGATCCACCGTTTTTAGGGGGATGATCGCGATGTATCCGCGGGTTCTCCACCCGTGAAACTCGGTACCCGGTATGTCTTCCACTCCGCCACGGAACTCTTCGACTCCGGCGCTTGGTGGGGGAGGCTTGTATCGGCCAAGAAGTGGGGGTGTTTCGTGGCTTCCGTCCGGAGGGGGCGGTCTGGTTCCCGTGCGTTCTGGGTGCCAGGCGACCAGGACGAAGATAGGCTAAGAACCGTGGCGAGCACACGGCGAAAGGAACGACCCGCCGTTCCGACGAAAATTATCGGTGTCGTTCCCAACCCCCGACGACACGGGGTGCGAGAGCGCGGTCGAGATAACGCGCGTGTGCGAACAGTAGCGTCCGGAACGAGGAGAGTCTTTCACCGAGGCTAGAATGTGAGACACGAGTGTGCGTGGCTCGGCTGGCGCGAGATGACTGAACCCCTCCGGAGGGTGAGAGAGAGACAGAGAGGAGGGGAGCGGTGGCACTGCGTTGCCCCCTCCGCGCAACGCGGAGCCGATCCACGGTTCGCGGCCCCCACCATCGACGCTGGAACGATGCCCCACCCCGTCGGACGGAACGACACGTCGCGTTCTCCCCGCCTTCGTGTCGTTCCACCACGTCCCCCGCGCCCCCCGCCGCCCGACCGCCCTTCCGTACCGCCAGCCGGCCGAGTCCCCCCACGCGGCTCTGTCTTGGACGTCTCTGTCCGACCCGAACGGTTCGGAGCGGTCTTCTGCCGCCGCCGACCGAAACAGAGCTAGACGGAGAGAGCCGCGCGCACGGGACGGAGAAAGATGCTGCGCCTGCCACCGTCACGCAAACCGTCGGAGAGTTCTTCTGGTCTTCGTCTACTGTCGCGCACTCGTCCACCGGCTGGCGAGCGGCGTGTTGCGCCCGCGGCTGCTTTCGATGCGTCGTCCACGTGCTTCTTCTTCTTATCGCGAGGGTGCACCCTCGCCGTGGTGGGGGTGCGGGACCCTGTGGGTGGGTCTACGAGTTCGTCCGCAGAGGCTGATGGTCGATTCTCCTCGATAAGGACGGACTGTCTCTCTTCTCGGCCGCTAGGAATGAATCTAGGTGCATCGCTGGCAACTGGGAATCATCGAGGAAGACGAACGTCTCGCGGAGACGTTTCCTTTTTCTTTGAGGTTAGAGGATCCTCTGATTGGGTCTGCGATTCAGGCTCGCGAGACCGATGGTTGATTTTGCTTTACGAGGATGCTTTGTCTCTGTCTTCGTGCATTGTTGGCAACTGGAATCATCAAGGAGCGAGATTTAGCCTGCGAGGGGGAGGCGAACGTCGCGGAGTCGTTACCTTTTTCTTTCAGGTTGGAAGATCCTCGGTTTGGGTCTGCGATTTGGCTGTTCCTTGGTCTGTTCCTTTTCTTTTCTCCTTTGAAATCGGACCAATATATGAATATGCAATTTTAATTGACGACGCTGATTTTAAGATGGCGGTTGGTGCTTCTTCGCGAACATGTGCCTACTGTCTTGTTTCAGGGGTATTAAGCGACTTGGGTGAAAGGATAAAAGTTATTTATGATACGTCGTTTTCTTTAGACACGACCGTTTGTTTTATTAACATCCATGATTAAACTTTATTGTTAACGACTTGTAAATACGTTTACTTGAACAACGACGAGTTCCATCCAGTCTCGGTGTCGGAAACTCGTCGGACACGTAACGAGGGGGTTGGCAAGATCCAAGGCGCAGATCAGCCAAGTCAACTGCCACCCCTGCGCAGAATCGCCAGGGCGCAGCGCCGGCCAATGACGTCACGCGGGCTTCACGAGCAACCCCGTCCAAGACCCTCCTACTTTTTACGCCCAGAAACGTGGAGCTGTCATCGTCGCCGCTTATCTACGATTCGTTTCGCTCGGGCGACAATTACCCCGGTCTCCTTTCGGCCGATCGCTAATTGAGACTCAAAGCTCCGGAAGAACGTACAGGTCCCCAAAAGGGAAATGAGAAATGCTGCTTTGACGAGTCATTCTCAGTCGTTGATTCTCTTTTACTTAACCAATTTATATTTAGTGAGCAATACCATGTTACGCGGGCGTATTATTCAATGATAACGTTCAAGACTACTCAACGTCGAAATTCGAGCATTTTTAAAATTCTGAAATAAATTTGTTCCAAAGGAAACTCTACTCAAAATTTGGTATATAACGCACGATAATTATAATTGTAAATTTAAAAAATAAAAACACGTAATTATCGCGAGAAATGCATCCGGATTACGTTTCATCCCGCTTGTCAGATTTGCTGGTGATTTTCGAATCTCGAACAATATTCGAGACGACTGGTGTCCCCTCGCGAATCGTTAGTTTGTTATTCCATCGGTAAGAGGCTTTTCCCCACTTTCCATAGTTGCGAACGAAACAAAAGGGCGGCACGGCGCAGACTCGGGCTTTCAAAGGGAAGTTACGAGGGGTGGCTCTTGTCCAATAATGTCGAGAGTTTCGCCACCCTCCGATCGCCAGAGGACCTCCCCCTTTTTTCGGCCAGCTCGTGTATAACGCGCTCGATTCTTTCTGCACGATCGTAAACACAGTAACAATGTACCGAATTAACCGGTACCGGTGAAACAAAGGCGCGAACGACCGAATTAAAAAACGTTCCAACGGTTCCCAGAGCCCGGGCAAGTTCTGGCTTTTCTTCCTGGCCACGGAACCCGGGCAATTCACGGCTCCCTTCCAGCTTTTAGATTGACATTTCCGAGCTACTTACATCATGCGGGTAGTTTATCGCACGGATTAAGGATGATTAAGGCTGAAAAGAGTGATGAACGAAAATGGGCCTGATTCACGGCACTCGCGCCGGCCATGTGAACGTTCCTTCCTTTTCGATTCACCGTCGATCCGACATCCTCATTTGTTACGATTATTCTACTCCGTAAACGCCAAGCCTCGCGTGGACCGAGGATAAATCGGAAACAATGGGCCCACGGAGACTTTCATTTTCTGATCTATCACACGTTCGTTCTTGAGTGGTTCAAAATGTTTGATTCACTGGTAATAGAGGAGGCATCGAAATGGAACTTTGACCGCGACTTTTCATTATAAAACTGTCTGACACAAGTAAACTTGAATAGGCAAAATTGTCCAATATTGGAATAACTGAAATAAATATCGAGTGTTAATTGGAAAAATGCGAAATAATTCGTTATATTAAGGGACTGAATTCTGGCCCTGTTAGGTGATCGATTAACAGTTCTAATGAGTCGCGAACAAAGGTATTAAACAAGCTACAACCACTCGGTTGTCGAATGCTAATGCGGAGAGCGCAGATTCGAGGAGATGCGATCAACGTGGCAGGAAATTAATTTCAGTTTATCTAGCCTGTTGCGTCACCTGCGATGCGAGGGGATCCCATTTAAATCGTGACCGCTTTTCACCCCATCGAGAAATCAGGTAGCCGATGTTTTGTGGAAAGTAGAATGTGGGAAAATAGTCGCGGCCCGTTAGGTTCCGCTGGCGAAAGGGTTGCTGGCGTAACCCTCTCGAAATGGGTCAGGATACCGGTCCCTGGTCGCTTCCTTAAAGACCCGTTTAGCCTCGATAAAATATCGTGTTTCCTCGAACCAACGTTTCCGAATGCACTCACCAATTTACTGCATCAATCACAGAGTTCGTTCAATACTCATATAAAAATGAGCGAATAATCCTGAAACTCACAGAGCACTCGATGGATACGTAATCATTATGTACCTCGAATCTATAGCCACAGAAGCTGAGAAATGTAAGATAAATGTAAGAGAAATGCAATTATAAAATTGTCTATGGAAGTATCGAATTTATCCTTCATTTTGTGTTGTTACAAATATATGTATAAAATATAAGGTTTAGGCAAATATGTGTAATGTGCCAAAGGAATAGTTTATCGAAATAGACTCTGACGTTGAACATCGAAGATCTACAATTCGTGGAGCAATTTCTATATTGCAAAGTTTTGGATCATAGCACTTCATTGAGGATTACCTTCTATTAGGTGAACGTTCTATCGTTCTTAATTATAAAAAGAAATCATTTCTAGGATTAATTAATTATACATTATTTAATGCATGTATGATAAAGTTGTATCGTAAATGTATGCAGAAGTTATGCAAGATAAATTTTGTATAAATATAAATGATGTATAAGAAAGTTATATGAAGACTGTACAACGAAGATATGTGATGAAATTCTATTGCAAATGTATGATACAGTTGTATAGTAAAGTGTATGATAAAGGACTCCATGACATCGTAAATTCTATAAAATTCTCGATAAACGTTACTAACAAATATTTTCATCGCGTTCCTGATTGATCAGATTATATAATAAATAGCATATTACCAATCACTTTGTTAAAAGTAATTCTGTAAATATAATGTGTGCTTCAGGATAGAACGTAGATACGAAAGCATCGGAATCATTTTACACCGGTTTAGAATCGAAAAGCTCGCGGCGAGAGATTGTCATTTTTATTAGAGATTTTCGCTGAAAATGCCTTTCTCGAGAATTTCCGCCGCGGCGCGGGGTTTCACGAAAAAGTCACGAAACTCGTCGAGCGAAGAAAAGTTGAACGTTCTCTCGGCGGTGCTCAAAGTATAAAAATATCGCGGCTCGGCCCTTCAACGGTGGAAATATGAATTTTTTATCTCTCCCTCGCGGACCATATGGCCGGTGCTCATCTCCCGAGGGGTGGAAAGACAAAAAAGCGGGC